GGACTCTTACATTCTAAACGTCATTCACCTAGCCACGTTTACAGTGGATCAAACAGTGTAAGATCTATGACAACTGTAACTGACTACAGGGACACTACCATGAAAACAGGCAAAGGGAATTAACACAGAGAGGAAGCGAAACTGCTGTGTGTAAAGAGCACAATAGGTACCCAAGGACTATGGCTTTTCTTAGATTTTTCTAGATGCACATATGAGAGTGCATAAATGGGGAGTTTAAACATCTTCAGTTACTAATGTAAAGTCGTTGCTGAGCTGCCGGTTGTTTTCCCTGATTCATATCCAGCCCATGTTTCCTATCTCTGCTTTGAAAACCAGGGATGCCAATGAACCTGAAGACTGCGGGGCCCCACACCGGAGCAGCCGAGTCAGAACCTCTGAAGTGGGGCCCAGGAATCCGCATTGTGTATGTTTGTGAGTCCAGGAGTGCATGTGTGTGGAGGTAAGTGTACATGCGTGTGTGTGTGTGTGTGTGTGTGTGTGTGTGTGTGTGTAGGCCAGAGGACAACTTCAGGTTGCCATCCACCTAGTTTTGGGGGACAGAGTCTCTCACTAGCCTGGAGCTCACCCATTAGGCTGAACTAGCTGGCCCTGGGAGCCCCAGGGATCTACCTGTCTTCACTTCCCCAGGACTGGGATTACAGTCTGGCACACACCTCCCACACCGGCTGTTTTTTATGGATCTGGGGCTCAAACTCAGGCCCTCACACTTGTCGGCAACTGTTTTACCGACTGAGCTATTTTCGCTGCCAGGAGTCTGCAGTTTTCTTTTTTGTTAAGATTTATTTTATTCTTAATAATGTGTATGTGTGTGGTTTGGGGCACATGATTACAGGTGCCTGGGGAGGCCAGAAGAGGATGTCAGGAGATGAAGTTACAGGTGGTTGTGAGTTGCCCTGTGTGGGTGCTGGGAATGGAACTGGGTCCTCTGGAAGAGCAGTGTGAGCTCTTAACAGCGAGCTGTCTCACCAGCCTGGAATCTACATTTTTAACCATCTCTCTAAATGTCTAGGCCCATGGCCTCGATGGTCAGGCCTGGGGATTGTCACTCTAGTGGCCTCTGCCATGTTGGGTTCTTCCCTTCTTTGAAGGGCACCTGTGGTTTTCGAAGACGGAGGGTTACCCATCAGTCATCTGTGGAGACACTCACAGAGCCCTCGACTCTTTTCTGACAAAGAAAAGATGGGGAGGAATCCACAGTGGCGTGCACTCAGCACTGTAAGGACTGAGGTCCTGGCCTTCACAGAGATGTGAGATCAGGTCATGGGACACCCCTGCAAGGATTCACTACCCCAGCTCCCAAAGAGAGAGAGCAAGGACAAGACGGAGATGCAGAGGGAAGGACATGGGCCAAACGTACTCAGACTTTTCAGGGTCAGATTTCATTTCCTCTTTTTCTTCCTTTTCCTCTTCTTTTGCCTTTTGTCCCTTGAATATATCAACAGAGAACAGAAAAACAGGATTATTATTAATATTAATATGGTGTGTGTGCATACACGCACCTGTGTGTGCATGCATGTACGCACATGGAATCCAGAGGACAACCTAAGCTGTCATTCATTCCTCAGACCGCATCCACCTTGTTTTATGGGAGGGTCTCTCACTGGCCTGGGATTCTTCGAGTAGTCTGAGCTGGCTGGCCAGCGAGCACCAGGGATCCATCTGTATCCACTTCCCAGTGCTGAGATTACAAGCCTGTAGCATAACCCTTAGCTCTTTCTTCATTTTCATGTGGGTTCTATGGCCCAAACTCCAGTGTTTATGCCTCATGAAGCAAGCACTTTACTGCCTGAGGGATCTTCCCAGCTCCCCAAAGCAGAGTACATATCACTGTTGAATCCATTTAGGGAGCGGTGTGGCCATGTGCACATCACCATACACAAAGGGCACCTTTGTGTTTCTACTGAGAAGTTCCATGTTTGTGTCTAGGCCCCTCTTCTGCGAACTCACCTGTCTAAAAGCAGTAGATTGGAGTTTTCTGGGCTTCTTCCACCATCCTTTCTCATTTCCCTTCCCTACCTACTCAAATTCTCATCATCTTTCAAGGCCAATTTAAGTCCCACTTCTTAGTCCTGTCATCTAACCAATGGTGTTTGAACTGTATCAATATACA